GATTCATAAAACTGGAGCGCCCCATCAAAAGGCGCCACCCAAATGCCATTGACCTTAGAAGAATGTTTTATGGCATGCAATTCATGAATCTCAATATGATCGGATTCTGGTTTTTTAAACGCCACAAAAGGGGCGTTTTTATTCAGAATCTTCAACAACGCATTCATCAAATTATCATATTGGTCATGGTGCCCTTGGATAGAATTTTACCATTGTCGCAATACACCACCACATCCAATACATGCAATCGACCGCCCTTAAAACTAAACTTGGCCTCTCCCTCTACCCATCCTTCGGATTGAGATCTAAAATGTTTAACCGATATGTCGGTGCCCACGGCCCGTTTGCCCACTTCTGAGGCAATCATATTGGAAAAACTACTGCCCAATGTTTCGACTAAGGCCGCCGTGGCGCCCCCGTGCAATATGCCAAATGGTTGATGAACCTTTGGCCCTACCGGCATTTTGGCCTTGATGGTTTCTCCATCAAAATAGGTGAACTCTATGCCCAATGTTTCCATTAGGGTGTTTTTGTTCATGGCGTTGATGTTTTCTAAATCGATGGTGTTTTCAGTCATTTCTTCGATTGCTTAATAGTATAGAAACATAATATAATAATTGGGCCAATGAGGCCAAAGCCGCCACCACATAAGTCATGGCTGCCCATTTTAATGAATCCTTGGCACCATCCAACTCGGGGGTGGTCACAATGTTTTTACGTTGCATCCATTCTATGGCTCGGTTGCTGGCATCAAATTCTACAGGCAACGTGATAAAAGCAAATAATGTGGTTATGGCAAACATGCCCACACCAATGGCCAATACGATTCTATTTCCAGAAAATTGCATCAACATAATCCCCCCCATCAATATAAAGGGCATTAGTTGAGAACTGATGCTCAATAATGGCACCATCTTAGAGCGCATCTGAAGCATACTATACCCCACCGCGTGTTGTACCGCATGTCCACACTCGTGCGCCGCTACGGCGGCGGCGGCGGCATTTCTTTCATTGTACACGGCTTCGCTTAAATTCACCGTTTTATCCATGGGATTGTAATGAT